AATGGACCTCACTTTCTCACTTCCCTCATTCCACATAAGCAGCTTCACAGAACAGAAAGAACATGATATTTGGAGGAGTCCTAGGTTTCAAATTATTGTTCACTGCTGCCTAGCTGCATAATCAGTAATGCCAGGCTTCCTGTGGAGTATAAATACATTAATGTGTATGAAAAGGGTAAGCTGCAAAGAGCTAGACAGAAGTTAATTACAGTTGCTACTATAATTAATACAACTGTACTCCTATCAAGACCTACAATGCTAATGATTGTAGGAATCATTGTTTCTCAAAAGCAAGAAAGCAAGGAGGTTTTCAAAACTTCCAAACACTAGAAGTTAAAGTCAGAACCAATGTCTTTTAAAAGGTCTGGAAGGCTAGAAAATAGGTCACAAACAACTGAACTGATAATCGAGTGTGTGCATATGTGTGTTAAATGTATAAATTAGATTCAAGGTCATCCCTATCAAATCACTCACTTGCATTGTGATATACTTTCCTAAATGTGAGGGAAAGGGAAGACAAGACATAGGTCGTGTACCAGGAACTGCACACAGTCCTGGGTTAAATCTAAGCACATGTGCTTAGAGAACAACGGTGGAAAATTGTGACTGTTTTTCCACCTCAGCACATCAGATAGCCAGGATCATGCTAGATCACAATGGTCATGAATCTAAGCGAGGGGCCACAGGGCAGAATCCCCAACTCCCAGCTCTCCCAGGTTCTGATCAACTGGCCTGCCATCTCCTCTCTCTGGCTAAGGGTCCCCTCAGCCACCATCCCTCTTCCAGCAAACATCCTTGAGAATCACTGCTCCAGATAATGTTTCTTTCTTACATTAAATCCTCTCAAACTGCATTTTAACTCAGCAACCCAGGTCATAAGACTAAAACTACCTGAAAGTAAACACACCTCTGGATAGGAATGAAAGTTGCTTCAAAGATGTATGAAGCTCTAGAGGAGCACTGGGAAGCACACGGCTATCACCGCCTGGGATCACTACAACTGAACAGAGCAAAGGCAAGAGAGTCAAAGAACAGGGCTTTACTCAAGACTCTCTTCACAGAAATATGCCAAAGAAAAACGTGTGGTATGTCTGCATAAACATCTTCAACTCCATTTTGTAAGTAGGAAGGCACAGGGAAAGAAAAAGTAAAATCTGACATATAGAGACTGGGATGAGAGAAAAGGCTAGTCATATTCCAATGACTTCTGCTAGAGATCACTGTCTCAAATGTCAACATCTCACTCTCATGAAAGACTCTGAAACCCAATTTTATATTAGACTCATACACTCAGAATCTAAGAATTTCAGAGTGGAAAGGACCTTCCATGTTATACAATTTACAACTGAGGAAACAGAACCAATGAGGTGTGGGTTGTTAAAGATGAAGTTGTTAGTAGCAGAAACAAGTATTTCAACACATTTCTTCACAGCCTCCATCAACCACCACAGGTGCTAACTTTTCAGTGCAGCATGAAGAAACACTTGAATGTTCAGAGTCACAGTAAAGATTTAATGTGTTGAAACCATCTTTTATAAGAACATTTCAATTACTATTTCTTTATTACTCAATGAACTGTATACTTTGTTTTAAAATGGTACTACTGAGATAAATTTCTACCTAAAATCCACCCACAGTTGATATCCTAACTGGAGATTCTGCAAATGGTCCCTGCCATCTCCTCAAACTAATAAATAAATGAACCAATATTTTTTCCCTCAGTCTCAGAAGTAATTGCTACATATCTGCTGTATGCTTTGTAGTGTGTTACAGAATAAACTTTTAAAAGAAAAATGTGCAAGTCCCCAAACAGTAGATACAAAATGTTAAAATCAATTAAATATTCTTAACCTGTGCCAATTAATATCAATATTAGGTTTTCTAAGGAAAGGTCCATGACATCACTGAAGAAAGAACATCCTACAACAGATTGAAAAAACTGTTCTAATTGTCAAATACAGTTTTTCAGGAAAAAGAGAAAATAAGTTTTAAATTTCTTGTCTACGCTCATCTGAGCTGTCAAATTACTCTGTGTTGCCAGTTTTTTCCATCTAGCTGTGCTATAATAACTTATTTCCCTGGCAATAAAATCTTTGTTTAAAAATTTTTTTGAAAATAATCAAAAATATTATGCACAGTTATTTTCCTATGAAAGCTTTAACTACTGCATCTCTAACATGACCTGGTTTCCACTTTATATTTCTATTTTTAGGGAACTCAAATATAAAGTACTAAAAGAGAAATACCAATGCAGCACTATTTACTATTGTGTTAAGAACGGTCCAACTAAAACAGAAAATACCACAATTAAGCTACAACTTCACCCACTATTTGAAAAATGCAATGAAACTGCTAGTATTTTTTTCTATAAGTTTCTGGTCTCATCTCTTCTCACTATGTTTTTCTGATCAAAAATAGTACTTTCTCTAAACGAAGAATAAAACCTCGAGACATAATAAAGCACAAGATAAATATATATACTGTATAAAATCAATGTACCAAATGCCAATTCTCTTAAAACTTAGTTAAAATAAAGGAAGACTATCATATGAAAAAATACACATCTTTTTTTTTTATGTACTCTAAAGTTCTTAAATATTATACGAAGGGCCTTCAAAAAATTCATGGAAAGATTTGTATTCTTTTAATTCCATTTTTCCATGAACTATTTGAAGTACCCTCATGCATTAAATAAAACATGTTTTATATGGGAGCCTCAAAACATGATTAATTGACCTATATGGTGTTTTTTACTAAATAGCTCCTATTAGAGTAAATAGTATAAATCATTCTCGGACTGATGCTTTCTATCAGGTATTAATTAGCAAAAATTAATATAATTGAAAAATTAGAACCTTGGAACTCAGAAATTGCCATATCTGAGAATGCCAAATACCTGAAATAAAAATGATTTATATACAGACTTAAAAACAAGGACAATCAAACATAAACTGGTTTACATTAACTGCTCTCACAAAAGTCTAAACAATAATGCATTCATAGAGAATTAACAATCCTTGTACTCTCACCTCCATGCAATCTGCCAAGATCCTATCAAGATTCACAAGAGTTAACAGGCAAGGCAAGTCCCTGTTAATATTTAAACAAGAAATGATGGGGCTACTTTACTGGACAGGTCAGTGAATCTACTAACAGAAGGGTTGGGTTCTGTTCTGGAAAGCCTGTGAAGTTCAAGCCTAAAGCAATTTCCTTTCCTTGTTTCAACAATCAAATCCAGTGAACAATTATAACAGTGTGTTATGTAAAAACTACAATAAGATTATTAACTTAAACTTTATCAACACTGTAACAACCCCCCCAACCCAGAATGAAGAAATAAAGAGTTAATGAAATACCCAATTCTTCATATAAATAAACTTCATTAATGACAAAAGGTGGTTTCAAATAATAAGAAAATGCATCTCTGAGCAGAAAAGGAAATATAACTGATGAACACTAAAGCAGTCCTATGGTAGAACTTTACTGCTTGGGACCATAAAGAAATGTGCCTATTCTTATTTTTTTAAATATTATGATTTGAAAAATGCAACCTAAGAGAGATACAATGAATACAAAGTTCATTCTAGAAATAATGTATGTAGACATATAGAAGACAAATGAGTAAAACTAGACCTAATGTTAATTTTAGGGAACTAGAGGAGGGCATAGAAAAGAGGATAGCAAAGGAGATAAACCGTATTTAAGAAGGTGGCAAAATGCAATGGTTATCGTGCATAAATTTATAACAGACAGGCTCATTGAAAAAAACCAGAATAAATAAACTGGCTTATTTTTAGTTACTAGAAGGTAGAAGTTATCACCTATTTACTTACATCAGTGAGACTGGAAAGTGTTCCTAATATGTAAAATCAATGCACAAACCTTTTCCACTGTATTCAGACCATAGTACTACTGTATCAGAGATTACACATAATGCAAGAGTGCATAAAAGTGTCCTTTCAAAGCACATATTGAAAAGTCAATAAAAATTATTTTATTAAAAAGCAGATGTACTTTTTTAGCTTAGTATTTTCCCAGACGTACTAAGCTAAATATCTAAGCTCAATCATTTACTCTTTAAGTTTAAAATACATACGCAAGAAAATCTGCACTGGACTCTGTAGGGCAGTTACCTAATCATTAACACTAATAAAAACACACTTGATATAGTTGCCTTCCAGTCTCAATTTGTGAAGAGTTTATGCTCTGAGTAAGTACCACATGTAAAGTACAAAACTGAACAGAGTGAAGATTAATTGCAATGTCTTAAATAAGAAAGAGCTGCTTGGTGAAGTACTCTGAGAATTTAGGTCAGTCTAATCCAAGAAAACATCAATTATGGAAAAGTTAGGGAAAACAAAAAATCAACTGAACTGCAGATTGTATCATATTGGGAAAATCCATTTGAGAAATTTGGAATCAGACTGAGTAAAACCAAGGCAACATATTATTAACAATAGGGACCTCTTTTAACAGAGGTTGACTGGGGAAGAAATACAACTATTAATGGGAAAAACAATTTTCTAATTTCAATAGGCAATATTTACTTGCAATCATTTGTCAACTTATCCAGTTATACTATCTTTCTATTAAGACAAAAATATTTTTATTGATTTTTTTTGTTTAGAGGACTCTGTTGGAAGAAATGCAGTCCTATATTGCTTTCAGATCTTTCATACAAATAAGTTTTTAATGTCCATATGAGCCAAAAATACATGAATATTTTTAAAAGAAAGAAATGTATGTGAATCCATTAGACACTATTCTTTCCTTTTCCAGTCCCATATCTTGTTGAATTATCAAAATGATATAAGAGAAAATCCTAAATTCATTATAACCTGATATCTTTTTGCAAAAACTATAAATGGATGGAATTTTCAGGCCAATACTGAAATAATGAAGATTCGTTCAGAATGACTTGGAATTTTCCATTTTAAGACAACCAAGACACATATAAATGAAAACAGGCTTTGTGTGGTTTTATTTTAATTACAATAGGCTTAAATCCTTTCAGTATCAATGTATCCTATTAATACAGTTTTTAAAACGCTACTTGGTGTAACATAAGCAGTAATAAGAATGCATATAAGCTGTGGCAAAGGCTGCATGTCCAGACCCCCATCAAGGAAGAGATATGAAGAGGCCCAATAGGGATCAAATATGGAGACAAGACAGTTATGACGAAGTCCTCTTGTCAGGCTGTATTCCAGCTGGTCCTTCTGAGCAGGGCCTTGCTTCACCATGGCTAACTTATCAATCAGAGTACCAGCAAAGCAAATGGTACACTGCACAACTGAAGAGAGTTTTCATAAAGGGACTATTTACTAAACTTTGGGCAGGTTTAGGAAAACCAACAAGAGGCAATACAATACTCTAAGTCTAGCAACAGTGGGGTGCTGTTTCTTTTGCCTGAAGAGGCAAAAGAAGGGAAAAATTACAAGAACCTGGAGAAAGGGGGGGTCACCAGACAAAAGCTGTGGCCTTAGAGTAAGAGAAGTAGCCAACTGAAAACAAGAAAACAAGCAAGGAGGGAGAGAGACAAGGGGAACAAATACTTCTATCTCAGTCCCCTGTCACCTCCAACCTCCAATTAGCTAAATCCAACTGGACACCAGATGGCAAGGGTCCTCCTGATGCAATCCATACAAGTTAGTCTCCATGGACACAAGGTAGAAAGTGGATCTGCAGGGGCAAAGAGAAGTTATGATTTCTGTAGAGGACCCTGAGGTGAATGTAAAGCAAACTAAAAATAATATACGAGAAACATCAAATAGCACAGTTGGCTGGAGAAAAGTGAAAATGGCAGAATGGAGTAGAAAACAATAAGATCATGCTAAGAAGTCCCAAATTAATTTGGCAGGTAACAGGCAACCAGAGAAGATACACATGCAGGAAAGTAAAATAATCCTACATTAATGGTAGAAGTACATAAAATCAAATTAAAAGGAAAGTCACTGATGTCAAAGATTAATTAGATTATTACCACAATCCTGGTATTAAGAAGGTAGTAATAGGTAAACATTAACATGAACTGATCTTCTAATATGTTCTGGTTACCTCAAAAGTTTTATCCATTTAGTCCTCTTGATTTTAAGCTAAGAATAGTTAGCCTCAGAAAAATAACTTGCTGAAGGACAATCAACAACTGGTTAACTGCTACAAAGGCCACATTATCTCACTGACATGTGCTATCTAAATGAAGTACTGGCAGTAGAAACAGAACGCAAAGAACAGAAATTCACTGGTTAGCCTAGTGCTCCATTAACTGAGAAATCTCAGGCGAGTCACTTAATTCCTTCATAGCTCAGCTTCCTCATCTACAAACTAAACATAGCTACCAAAATTATTCCTTCCATCTCTCAAATTCTCTTGTTGCATTACTAACTCATCAACCTTCCCACCCACAAACCAAACCTGCCAATGAACATCCCCATTAATTCACCTTCAATTCATCTCTTGCTATATACTCTCAAAACTAAATACAAATGCAGCCTCTCCAATAAATCCACTCGTGTCCAAACTCATGAGTTAGAAGTCATTCCTAATTAAGCCTGCCTGGAAGTGATAGGCCATCTATGATTTCCTATAGAAATTATACCTCTTCAAGCCATTTGGCAAACTCCTAAGCACACTGTTGATTACCATTAATTTTTAAAATGAATTTTATTTTTTAGAGCACTTTTAGGTTCACAGCAAAACTGAGAAAGAGTACAGTGTTTCCATACAGTACTGCCCCCTGCCAACACACACACAGCCTCCCCCACTACCAACATCCTGCACCAGAGTGGTACATTTGTTACAATCAACGAATCATTATCACCCAAAGACCATAGCTTACATTAAGGTTCACTCTCGGTGTTGTACATATTATGGGTTTAAACAAATATATAATGACATGTATCCACCATTACAGTATCATACACAATAGTATCACTGTCTTAAATATCTTCTGTGCTCTGCCTATTCATCCCTTCCTGCCCCCTAACTACAGGTAACCACTGATCCTTTTACTGTCTCCATTGTTTACCTTTTCCAGAATGTGATATAGTTGAAATTATATAGTATGTAGCCTTTTCAGATTCACTTCTTCCACTTTGTAATATGCATGTAAGGTCCCTCTATGTATTTTCATGACTCCATAGCTCATTTACTCTTAACACTGAATAATATTTCACTGTCGGGATGGACCACAGTTTATCCATTCACTTACTGAAGGACATCTTTGATGTTTCTAAGTTTGGCAATTATGAATAAAGCTACTATAAACATTGTGTGCACGTTTTTGTGTAGACATAAGTTTTCCCTTCATCTGGGTTAATATCAAGCAGTGAAACTGCTGCATTATATGGTAAGACTATGTTTAGTTTTGTTAAGAAACTGCCAAACTACTTTCCAAAGTGGCTGTACCATTCTGCATTCCCACCAGCAATGAATGAGAGCTCCTGTTCCTTCAAATCCTTGCCAACATGTTTTGAATTTTGGCCATTGTACTAGGTGTGTAGTAGTTTCTCATTGTTGCTTTAATTCATAATTCACTAATGACATGTGATGCTGAGTATCTTTTTAAATGCTTATTTGTCATCTATATATTGTCTTTGGTAAAGTGACTATTCAAGTCTTTTGCCCATTTTTTAATGAGGCTGGTCATTTTCTTATAGTTTAGACTCAGGAGTTCTTTGTATATTTTGGATAACAATCCTTTAACAGATGTGTGTCTTTTGCAAATACTTTCTCCTACTCTGTGGCTTGCCTTATTATCGTAGGAGTGTCTTTTGCAAAGCAGTAATTTTTAATTTTAATGATAGTGAGCTTATCAATTATTTCTTTCATGGATCGTACCTTTGATGCTGCATCTCAAAAGTCTTTGCCATACCCAAGGTTACCTTGATTTTCTCCTATGTTACCTTCATTATCATTAATTTTTAAAAAAAAAAAAAAGTACTGAGGGCCAACCCCCGGCTCACTAGGGAGAGTGCAGCGCTGGGAGCGCAGTGGCGCTCCCACTGCGGGTTTGGATCCTATATAGGGATGGCCGGTGTGCTCACTGACTGAGCGTGGTGCGGGCGACACCAAGCCAAGGGTTGCTATCCCCTTACCGGTCACAAAAAAGGAGGAAAAATTTTTAAAAAGTACTGAGTGGCCAGTATGTGCCTAGACTCAAGACACAAGGTGAATAAGGCAACAATACCCCCAAGCCTCTTGAGGCACTACTTAAAGAAGTTCAGTCAAAGAATCTTCAAGGCAGTGATTCTCAGCTGGTAGAGAGCAGAGAAATCACAGTATTGTGTGAATCATAACAGTTTAAGAGTGCAGGGTTTGGAGCCAGACTGCCAGGATTCAAATCCCAACTCTGCCATTTACTAGCTGTGTGCCCTTGTGTATCAACTGTCTCATCTGCAAAATGAGAACAATATTTATACCAATTTCACTTCACAGTACTATTGTGAAGATTAAATGACTTAATCAATGTAAAATGCTTAGCATAGTGACGGTCACAATGTAAGTGTACGATAAATGCTAGTACTTCTAGATTCTCCAGGATGGGGCTGAGGTATTATAGTTTGAAGAAACATTCGAAATTATCATTGCTGTAAATTTTCAATCCTGATATTTCATTTTATTTTGGAATTTCAAAAGAAGATTAAGGCACAGTCTCTTTCTCATCTTCTGTGATCATTAATCCTTAACAAATCAAAGACTCAAAATTAATAAATAAAAGTATGTCGAGGAAGTAGACGCAAGTTAGCAGAAAGAGTATAGAGAAAAATTTCAATTTGGCAGGTATAATCTATTTGTTAGGTTTTTAAAAAAAAACACACACTAATTTCTCATTTATAACAAAAGTTAAGATTTTAAGTGAGACCCTTAATTCATTTAAGCTAATATTTCAGTATCATACAAGTATTACTGATTTTCATATGTGCTAATCTCACACAGAAAAGAATATACAAAATTAAATATACAAAATTTAATTTAAATTAAATATACAAAAAATATACAAAATTAAACCACAGAATTGAGGGTGGTTTCTTTCTCAGTGACTTCAGTAAGAATCTGTTTCAATGAGCACTGGCTAATGAAATAAACTATAATTTTATTTTCTAGTATAATAAAAAAAAATTACACCTTGAAGAAGTATCAACATTAAATTACTACTTTTAAAAGTACTTTTTAAAAAGAAAACTGCAGGGCCGGCCCGGTGGCGCACTGCTACAGTGCGCCGCTTGGGAGTGCGGCGGCGCTCCTGCCGAGGGTTCGGATCCCACATACAGACCGGTTACCGCTAAC